CCCCTGTTTTTGGAGGCCGGGGTGGGAGGGGGTTTTTTTTTGGGGCGTGCTTCCCGGAGAGACAGGGAGGCCCCGCGGCTGCGGTCATTGAGGAGGAAAGCGGCCGCGGCGGCACTGCTTGAGCCGTACCGTGGACTATTGGGGTTGTTGATGCCAAGGAAGGCCTGACAGAGTTGGTTTGTCAAGGATTGTACGGATGATCCCTTTTTGATGTTCTTGTGCTGTCTGTCTTTTGTGCATGTGCGAGCGTTGGGTGCTGATGCCGGCCGGTTCGCTGACTAACGCGTGCTGGTTGGCTGACTACCTCCACGGGATTGGGGGGGGGGGGGGGGGGTAATTGCGTGGGGTCATGCTTCGCCGAAACTTGTTCGTTTCCTCCGCGCCCTTCGTTTGGTCTAACGTGCCTTCGTTGCGGGATATTTTTGGTGCCTTTGAGCGTGTTTCCGGTTCCGCCGCCACATTGGTTCCTTCCCTCTCCCCTCTTGCATCTGGCGTCTTGCATCTAGATTTCCAAAAGTCAAGACAAGAGAGGAAAGGAAATGAGCCACACGCCCCGTGTTTTCAGGACGTGTCGGCAGTTTTCATGCAGGCGGGGCAAGCAATCTTGCCGCGGTGCTTGTGCGTTGTGCGACACTGTATCGTCCACTTGCCTCAAAATCAATAACATACCTCCTAGATAATAGCACCACCTGTTTGTTTCCCTTGTTTTTACTTCTTTTTTCTCTCTGGAACATATGCTGCTGATTCGCTTCGCTGCGGTTCAGACATGTCGTGTTCATCTACGCATCTAACCCTATCATAATATCATAATAGTCGATCACGAGAATTTTTGCTTCGTTGCTTGATTTTGTTTTGTGTTGTTTGTCATGATTACAGGCGTCCGGAGGTCTGCACAACGATATGGCTGTGCACGACTTCGACATGGCTCGTTTCCTCGCCGGGTCCGAAGTCGCCGAGGTGTACTGCAAGGGCAGCTGCAAGGTCAGAGAAAGAGACAGAAAGAGGGCGAGAGACAGAGACGGGCGGGGGGAGCGGGGGGAGAGAGAGAGAAAGGGAGCGCGCGAGAGGGGGAGAGATAGAGAGGGCGGATACAAGGCGCATAAAACTGACCCCTCTTGATCTTTGTTTGTTTTTTGTCATGTCATCCGATATTCGGTTTATTTCTGTCACTGGCAGAGCCCACGTCATGTAACCTGTATTCCGTTGGGTATTTGAGACCCTCCATACGTTCTGCCCCGCCATCTTCCTTCTCCGGCTTTTTTTATTTTCTTCATGGGGATTTTTTTTCGAGTTTGTTTACGAACGAACCAACACGCAGGTCGAGGCGTTTATCGGTTCATGTTTGCATTTTTTTTTTCGAACACGAACCAACACAGTCAGAGTCTTTTTTTTTCTTTTCTTTATGAGCACGAACCAATAACGAAAACCGCCAACACCAACACACAGGTCGACCCCGCCATCGGCGAGGCCGGCGACATCGACACCAGCCTGGCCATGCTCACCTTCGAGAACGGGGTGGTGGCCACCGTGGACAACAGCCGAAAGGCCACGTACGGATACGACCAGCGGGTGGAGGTCTTCGGCTCCAAGGTACGGTGCCTGGCCTACGACTTTCATTTGTTGTGGTTGTTGCTGTCATGGTCTGGAGTGTCGTCTGCGTCGATGAGAGATTCAGTTGGTTTTGTTTTGGAGACCTTCGGCTTCAAGGTGTTTCGCGGTGCCCTTTCTACGAGCTTTGGTTGTTGCTGTCATGGTCTGGGATTGTGGTTTACATGGGTGATAGATTTGCCCGTTTTTGTAAGGGAAGATGAGGGGGCGTTGAGGATGTTGATGTTGCTGTCGCATTCTGGGGCAAGATTGTCCATGGACAGAGAGATTGATTTGTTTTGTGTTTATTGTTGGGTGTTGCCGTGTGTGCTGGGAGGAAAGCGATAGTTGCTGTGTGTCTTGGGTGTATCGACTGCGCTTACAGGGTGACCAAGTTGTGTGTGTGATGACATCGACCGCGCTGCTAGTAAACGCCTGACTAGGAAACGGCGTCATTCTCAGTGCGGCTGAAAAAACGTGCGCGTCTGTGCGTGCATCAGTTTATTTGTCTTCTTTTTCTTTTTTTAATGATAACGACACGGGCATACTATCGTTCACGCCACACCTACAGGCGATATGTGTGGCGTTGTTCCAGTTCTTGAAACCGTGTCTTTTTCAGTGCCCCAACAGGAAGTGGTGCTCAGTATTCCTCCAAGGCGACCTTGCGCTTAATTGATACCATTGGCGCTGCTCTCCTCATGTTCACACCTCGCCCGTCCCTTCCCTCTTTCTCTTTTCTCATTTTTTTTTTTTTCTTGTTTCGTGCTTGCTTCCGGACGTTACTGCAATTGTCTCCCCACGAGCAGGGCATGATCCAGAGCAACAACAAGCACGCCAACACCTGCGTGGTGTCGAACGACGAGTCGGTCTCCACCTGCAAGGCCATGGCGTTCTTCATGGACAGGTGGGCCTCAAACGGTGATTCGTTTCGTGTGCTGTGTTAACCGTGTCAATGAGGTAAGCCCGGAGGAAAATCCGGCCTGGTTATTAGATTTTTTTTCACTGCTATTTAGAATGGTCTCATGTTCGTGCGTTTTCGTCCATTCTAGCCGGATGCCCATGCTTTTATGTTATGGTGGGTGGTGGGTGACCTCTTCTCTTTCGCCACCCTTGTTACGGCACGATGCTCGTCACAGGTTGTTGTACTCGTCTGTTGTTGTTGCTGCTGCTGTTGCTGTTGTTGTTGACGTCGACGAACGACAAAAAACACCGGTACGCCTACGCCTACCGCACCGAGAAAGGTGGCGTTCCGCTGGAAACATGTTCTCTGCCTTGTTGTACGTGGTGTTGCCGCTGCTGTTGACGCCGTCGTCGTCGTCATTATTGCCATGAGATCTCGATCGCCGTGCGGTAAAAAAAAATCCGGTTGGAAAAAAAAAAAAAGTACGCCGACGCTTACCGCACCGAGAAAGGTGGCGTTCCGCTTGAAACATGTTCTCTGCCTTGTTGTACGTGGTGTTGCCGCTGCTGTTGACGTCGTCGTCGTCGTCGTCATTGCCATAATCTCGATCGCTGTGCGGTAAAAAAAAAATCCGGATGGAATAAAAAAAAAAAACAGGTACGCTGACGCTTACCGCAACGAGATGGTGGCGTTCGTGGACTGCGCCCACGAGGGCAAGGCTACGCCCGTCGGGGTGGAGGACGGAAGGGCTGCGTACCTCATCGGAAAGGCGGCCAAGCAGTCCATGGAGACCGGCCTGGTGAGAGAGCGAGAGAGAGAGAGAAATTACACGGGGGTTCCGGGGGTAGGGGGATTCGGTGCGCCTGACGGGAAGAGGGACAAGCGGCTGATTCAATGAAAGCTGGTTGGCGTTTGTTGAGGGGGGACGGAGTGAGGGGCGGTACCGGGAAGAGTAGCTGTCACGTGCCACGTAGGGAGGGCGGCCAAACGCTCGTTCGGACAGGGGTTGTTGTCGGTGGGCATGGACCCTGCTTTTTGTCTGTACTTTGTTTACCAGATGACCAGATATTGCTTTGCTTGGTTCATATTCTGCTTTAGGTAATCTAGTTTTTTGTTTTAGCGGCTGGGCGTAACTCGCTGCTTCCTTGTTTTTGCCTCAAGTACGCTCCTGGAGGCTTTTCGTCGCGTTCCCAAGAAAGTTTTGCTCCAAGCGCCCATTTTTCAGTTGACGTCGTCCACGGAGTCAGCACGCGCTCTGTGTTAGCAGGCGGATGCGGATGCTGCGTTGTCTTCCACATATCGCACGCCCGCACTCTTATCCCCTTGCGTCGTGGCGAAGACCCTGAATGGGCGGTCCCGACTACCGATGAAGAAAGGGGTTCGAGAGTCTGATAATCTCCCCCCCCCCCACCCCCCCTCCCGTGCCACTCACCTTTCTTGCTTTTTGCTCTCTTCCTACAGCCCGTCAAGGTAGCAGACATGTCGTGAACCGACGCGGGTGGAAGGCCTCGAAGCATGCTTTGACGAGCCAAATTGAGCACCGCCAGAGAGGGGGCACAACGGATGGTGTCGGGAGGGGTGTGTCGGGGCATCCGCGGTGTTCTTGACGCGCCGGTGTCCACAAAATGCTTGCACGAATCGCGTGTTGTGACGCCTGCTGGTGCGTGCGGTCGCCTTGGCACAAACTTTTTTGTTTATTTGTTATTTTTTCCCCACCGGGAGCGGATCTGCATAGAACACAGCCGTTCAGATCCTCTCGCTCCCCCGTTGGCTGGCGCTCCTTTTTTCTTGTCCACACGTCCACACGTGGCTGAGGTTCGAGCTCCGAGGAAAGGCTGTCGGTAAGGCAGCCGCCGAGGGTCTGCATCATCCCGGAAGCACACACTTCTCAGTCGACGTTCACGTCCGTCGCATGTTGCTTGAACGCGTTACTGCCATTTTCTGAGTGCCGGTTGCGTCGCCCCGATTAGTGCCGGGAAAGTTTTTGAAGAAGGGGCTGTTGTTGCGGCTGACTCTCCTTCGATACGAGTGAGGGCTATAATAGTAGGAGAGAGAGATGTATCTCCGAGAGAATGCCGCCCGCAGCATCTCTCGATACGGCAACACCGCCGCCGCAACCACCGCCAGACTTGACGACGAACACCTTCGTCCCGCGGTGTTCAACACAGCCCAGCCAGAGTCACGAGTTCGGAAGCCCCCGTCAGGCGGTCTGAAGTTATGGTCTCAAGGCTAAGTAGAAAGGAAACACTTGAATGGTTCCCCGGGTGAAGCGCAGCGGCGGCGCTGTTTGTTTCGAAGTGTGACCGGAAAGGAAGAACCCCTTGAGCCACAACCCCTCGTCCGAATGAAACCCACTTGCGCCTCCTTTTTCGGATCGCGAAGTGCCGCTTTCGCGCCGAAGACAGACAGTGATGCCTCACATAATAAGCTGACTGGTCTTCGTGCCCTTGTGCTTGTCACTCAATATCACACCTGAACCTCCTTTTCCTTCACCTCTCACGTGGATGGATACGACATGTTCGTCTAAGAGACCGATACGGTCTCTAGAGGTCTCACAGAACGGGAAAAGGAATGTGAATGAACGAACACTTTCAGTCCGAAAGCCTATGTGTACGTGTGTGGGTGTGTGGTCAGTTAGCCAGCGAGTGTGCTCTGATGCCAGTGTGGTGGCGGTCTCAAACAACATGCCCTCAGCAACAACAGAAGAAGTGGAGGGAGGGGTGGACGGATCCACGGATGTACCCGACGGGTAAACGTTTCATTCTACAGGAGACCAGCGGACCGTGGCGCAGGCGGACATGCATGTTAGCGTACTAAGGCATGTATCGCACAATGGGACCGTTTGGCCATGCTGATGCTCGGGCACACCACTACAGCCTGGCTTGGGTGATTGCTGCACGCCGTTGTACGTTGTGAGATCGAACACACCATTCGTTGGCACGGCACGGCACGATGGTGGTCCCGCACAGCATGCTGGCCAGTTTCTTCGTCGTGTTGGCGCAGAACAAATTGGTGAGTTTTGAGCGATAGGGTATAGACTAGAAACAAGCACCGTGGATACAGCAGACGACCCTGGAATTGTTTGGCTGACACAAAAGTGTTTCAGTCTCGCAGATTTATTTGTCTCTTCCGGGGTCGTTTTGTTTGGCTGGCACAAAGTGTTTCAGTCTTACACAGCAGTGTCTGTCTCTCATTCTTTCCCCAAACTCCAAACTCAAACAACAAACACCACACCACCAAAAACGGAACCGTGACAATACCGTATCCGATATCCACCTCGCCGCAGGACACGTGTTCATGCCAATTGGCCAGCGCGTGTGCATTGAAGACATAGTCTAGCCGTGCGTGTAACGGTCCCAGATAGACAGCATGGTGAACGAAAATCGGCATGATCCGATGACGACGGGTATTTGTTCATCCGCGATCCTTGTAACGGTCCCAAGCATGAACGAAGTTCGGCACGATCCACGATCCATCATCCGACGACGACGGGTAAATGTTCATCCCCATTCATCCGCGATCCGGGGCGATCTTTATCTTTCATTCCACCGTGCATCACCATGGTATCCACCTCACGGCAAGCAAGTCCAAACTACGTGTGTGTGTGGTGTGTTGACAGTCTTGCACCCGGATACGTGCGAAGACATGGAGAACACGCGTTCCCTCAGTCCAAGGCATGCGGGTTGTCACATCTGTTGTTCTCCAATTACGCAACAACCCAATTCGCGTGGTGTTGCACGCAGCACCAAAACCTTATCCTCGTCTGTTCCCTCTACATCAGACACACAGTGTTAGGCGTTGTCCATCCAATTAGTCTATATGCTTAACGCTTTTTTCTTGCCCTGACCGTCGTCCTAAGGATGCAACAAGATTCATCACGCTACTTTTTGTACGAATGAATCTTCATCTCTTCACTGCTCTCTACACCACCTATATATAAAAACGAAAAATCTCTTGGAGGACCGGCACGGTTGCCCGAGGCAAGCTGCGATACCAATGACAATGACGGCTGGTCTTTTTTCCATCGCGTAGGCCGGCACGCACAACCACGAACCGGCCGCCCCACCCTTTCGCAAACGTTTCTGAGGATAAAACAAGGCTAAGGCCTCTACTTCCGAGGCTGACCAGGGGTACCCTCGACCTGTTGCATGATTGCCACACAGCCGCTTTGACAAAAGGCTGCAGTCAGCACCAGCGACTCCTTCTCTTTAGAATATGCAACCAACGTGCTTGCCGCGAACGGCGCCCCGCCTTACCCTTCATTTCTGAGGGGAGAACAAGGCGGCGGGCTTCAGACCTAGCCGGGCCTCCCTCGGCTTGGTACTATATCAACAACAGCAACATTCCTTCTCTCTTACAAGTATTGAACACGTGCGAGGGCTGCAAAGCGAACCAACAACGACCGTTGTCGAGGCCCTCTTCTAACCAACCTCCCACGCTTCCGTTATCTTCTCCGAAAACCAATGGGACGGATGACTTTATAATACAATGATGCCCCGGGGCATATCCCGGCCTCAAACTGAAGCCCGCTTCCTCTTTCCCTACACGGCTATGGTACAAAAGTTGAACTATGTTGGCGTTTCTTCTGGCGAGACTAGTCATCAAGCGAAAACACGACCCATGCATATGTTAATCACTACAACAAAGATGTATAGATCACTACAACACCGAGGAGCTTTGTTTTCTTCCGCCTGCCTGCCTCACTCAGCAACCCCGTCTCCCAACTATCTATTGCAAACCCCACCCCGCCCCCCTCTACCCCCCCCTTTGCCACACCCAAGCAAAAGCGCCCCCAAATTCCCCTTACGGCCGCTTCTTGGGATGCAGATCGTCGCCCCTAACGCGACTCTGTCAAAACGTTTGACCGATCGAATGGCGATTGGTGTACCACGCCCTGCCAGCCTAGTCGGCAATTACTCCACCCCAATTTCGTGATGATCCATCGAGCACTGCATCACGAAGATCTGTAGACTAGGGTCTGCGCGACTGACTGCTCTGCGGTCACGAACACGTTCGTTCCCATGAGGTTTTCTAGCATACACTCGTGTCCACGCTAATAGTGTGCACACTACTAGAGAACATCGACAACCAAAAAGGCCGTGCAGCACATGTCTTGTCTCTCTGCACACCGAAAAAACACGAACACAACCAGGAAACGAGAAACAGCAATAGTTGAAGCAAGATCCCAAAACTGATCAACACAGACAAAAAAAAAGCAGCTCAGCGGGAGTTCAGATAGAACGCAGGACATAGTACGCCACTTCTGTAGAGTACACATGATCGTTCTGCTTTTTGCCGACCCCCCCCGCGGTATGGAGGATTCGTAGCCTAATGATTGAGAGCATGGTCGCAAAAACCCGTGCCAAGCGATTCCACCCGCACCGTACCGTACCAAGAAAACGGGTTATTCGGGACCGCGGCACGTGGCATGTCTCCCGTGCCGCGCACACACGAATGAATGACGTGGATTTCTTCCCACATCAACTCGGCATTCTTTCGCTGTTGTCCTGCTTACCCACTGCTTGGCTACCTATCCGGAAAGCGAGTAGTCTAGTGGTCATCGCTTCGCCAACAGCTGATTGGCCCCCGTCCCTACCGACCCTCCCTTTTCAAACACCCTCGCTGTACGGGCAACATGGCACTGCTGTCGTCGTTGAAGACAACGATCGTCACCTTTCAAAGTTATGGCGACGCCGCAAAACTGTCCCTCATTGACCCCCCTCAAAACTGACGGCCGCTCTAACGTAGTGCCGTCGCAAAATTGCCCTTCGAAGTTTCACCACGTTTGTCTAATATGGAATATACTACATACTCTAATGAGGCAGTCGGTAAAACAACCAACCTGCTAACGACCCCCTTCTTTTACGCTACAACAATGACACCCCGCAAACAACACGGCAATCTGTACCTATAAAACAATCAGGATTAATATTTTACACTCTCACGCATGTGGCTCCACGAGGCGGTCGGGTTCCATCCATTTTCTTGCTTAACAAGACTAGAAGAAAAAGGGGTGCGTAGATAGCAATGTGGAGATAGGTCTGCTTCATAAAAGGGTACAGCAGTACGCCCAACGTCTTCTGTCCGTCGAGGACGATATTCTTCACAATCAATCATCGTCACAAAGGACAGCCGCTTCACAATCATTGTCGCCAAAGAGGGCAGAGGGCGGCCGCCTCACAACCAATCATCGTCAAATACAACGCGGCCGCTTTCCCCAATCCTCATCGCCGAGCACGGCGCGGCCCCTTCACAATCACCATCATCGTCAAACCCAGGGCGGTCGCTTCACAATCAATCGTCGTCAAACAAAGGACGGCCGCTTGGCCGGAGACACCGACGACGATCCCGCCGCAGACCACGAGAAGCCCCGCTCGGAGGCGGCCAGGTCGTTGTGCGCGTCGGACAGGCTGGCCGACTGGCGGTGGTGGTGGCGGCGGCGGCAGACCGGGCCCGGCGAGTAGGCCGTCGGTGTGACGCTCACCTTTTTCGAATCAAAAGAACGAACAAGAAGAAGAAGAAGAAAGAATAAGAAAGAACGAGGAGAAGGAGTGGGTGGACCCCCAACAGAACGGGTGTTGTTCTGTTCGGTTCGGGACGAAAAACGAACGACGTTAGTGTGTGGGTAACTACTGCTGTGTCTCTTCCGAATTAAGAAGAACGAGAGAAGACGAAAGCGAACCCAACGGATGTTTTGGACGAAAACGAGCGGAAGCTTGTGTGGGTTTTAGTCGTCCCGAAGATCCTGGCTGGTACCAGTCTACAATCAGCCTGTCCACGTTTTTCGGACGGATCGGCCGGAGTCGCACATAGGGGGAAGGTCACAAGCTGACATCGAACACGAATGGACATGCAAGCGAAGTAAACAGGCAGCCAAAGACCGGGGGAAAAAGGCATGGTAGAGATAATACAATATGTCAACAGACAGTAGGGTTACAGCTTTTGCAAGCAAAAAATACGGGTGAGGTTGGCCAGGGTGTAAGATGGTGAGAGCTTGTTCTCGAGGACATCAACGACAAGGATATCACCGACCAAACACGACAAATCACCTGGTTGAGGCACACGATGACGCAGCTGCAGTTGTCCGAGCCCGACATCTTTCCCAGCGTCTTGCACAGCTGTTTGTTAAATAATACAACAGGATAAAAAACGGAAAAATCGAGGCAAGGAACCGGAAAGGAAGCAACAAAATTATAATGGCAGACAGCGAGAAGCTCTTTTCCAGGTTGCTTTTTCTTTTCTTGGTGGCACAACAACAGGAACATCCACAACATCAGAACAACAGCGTAGCAGCAGCCGCAGCAAAGTTACAAGCAGCAGCAGCAGCAATAACTACAACAACTACAACAACAACAGTCAAAGCAAGAATTTTTTGGCATCAACGCGGGATTTATGGCAGTGTATCAACGTCCCCAGCCGAGTCAAGACGGTCTTGATCGAGAAACACAGGGCTGCACATTTTCACCTGTGCGAGAGAAACACGCTGCCAGGTACTTCTTGCTCCCTTTCACACCAAGCGAAACCTGCCTGTTTACTGTCAAGTCTTCGAAGAAAAGTGTCAAAATTGGTCCCACACCAAGAAAACAGCGCGCAACACACCTTGTTCCAAGGCACCCATCTCCCTCGCACCCGACTCATCGTGCACCCGAAACAACCAACGCATCTCCACCCACCGACCACTACCATCCACAACTTTCACACACACACAACGCCCATGTTGAGCAGCATTGCCGCCTGATCGTGTTGAATCCATGTTGAGCAGCAATGCTGCCTGATAGTGTCGAATCTTCTCCTTGTACTCCAGAACCACAAGCAGGACAGTGCCGTCCAACTCCTGCGCCCCCCCTGTCAGTAGAACCCCGACTTACCCTTTGAGTAGAAAGCGTCTTTGCGTTTTTGATCCCGCTAAAAGACTGACGTCTTTCCCATTGGCCAGACGGGTATGTAGCGGTCCATGCTATTAAACACACACACGCGCTCAGTCGGTTAGCGCGGTCGATGTTGATAATATAAACACACACCTCGCGGCTAGCTCGCTGCACGTCCCGGTGTTTGAGCAGCCTCCGGTGCACGTACGAGACCACTTGCTGGCTCGAGACGAGATCCCACACGCCGTCCCACGCCAAAATCAAGAACTCATCCCCCGGTTGCACGAACACTTGAGGAAAAGGGTGAAACAGAAAGGGGGGGGATGGGGGGGGGGGGGGGGTACTCACTTAATTGGGGGGCACCGTAGTCGTTCGACCATGGACCAAGCATCCCCTCAAAAAGGAGGAATACCGCGCCAACTCTTTACGTACGATACCGCCAAAAAGAAATAGCCGGGGGCAGAGGTAGTGGCCGGGGGCTGGTCGTTGGGAGCAGCGGAACGTGAGTCGGTTGAATTGGGATCTCTTAACCTTGCAGCCATATTATTAGACTATTGGGTACGCTGGAAAAATGTTGCTTGTATCATATCCCCGTTCCTTTTCGGCGTTTCCCTGCCACCGTCCATCTTCTGCACAGAAGAGGTCACAAAAACAAGAACAACAACAACGCACCGATCTCGTTTCTGGTTTCGAAATCAGCTGCTGCCCTCGCCACATGTCGCCGTCCGGAGGGGGCGGTGGGTACTCCTTGAACGCGATGTCCCCGAACGCGCGGGTCACTCCTAGGATACCGTTGAGCCGGTCACGGGAGATGTACCCTACAAACGAAAAGACGGAGGCAGATGAACAGACGCCGTACGAAGCGACACAAAGTAGAGTAAACAAGCGGTTATGGTGAAAACAGGCATCATGCCTGGAAATTTCAAACACTGCTGTTTGGGGCCGTTGTAGAGCACACTCCACACTGCTGCAGTATCTCACAAAACCTTGGTTTACTTTCGGCCAACACCCGTTCGAAGCTGCGCGCGAAAATACGTTTTGCATTTGTGTTTAGCGCACACCAAAAGTGCTTCTCCAGGCGTGTACGGGGAAACAAGCCCAACCGACAGCATCGACGGTCACGATGGCCGTCACCACGACAATGACCAGAAGCTGACTCAAGATTACCGTCCGTTCACGTGTTCTTCCCCTGCCGAAGAACTCGGGAATCCCTACAACAACACCAAATCCACGCAACGAAACAAAAATAAAACAGTCGCATGGCTTTTCAATTATTAGGACAACATTGCGACAGCAGGTACATAAATCGAGAAAACAAAAGAAAAAAAGAAAGAAAGAAAAGAAAAGCTAAGCTAAGCATGCTCTCACCGCCCGCTTCCTTAACCCTCGCCCTCTCGTCGTCTCTCGAAGGGCGGTGGTCGGAGGTCAGGTCGATAGCCACGCCCCTTCGGCACAAGACCGCTCGGCAGTCGCCGACGTTGCCCACGTAGATCACGGTTTGCTGGGGGGAGGGAGGACGTACGGAATACGGGAGGAAGAAGACAACAGACGAGGGGGGGCTGTAGAGTGAGACCAGGATACAACGCAACGTGGCAATGATAGCAACACGCGGAGGACGAACGGACGAACAACAAGGATAGGACCCGGGAAGGGCGGGTAGCAACGGGAATAAGACAAAGGCCGAATTAGTTCAGCAGAACCACACCGTCTCGTGTAGGTAGAGATCAATAAATTGCCCGCTGTTGCACCACTTCAAGAACTAAAATCACCAAGAGGGAGGGAGGCAGGCAGGGAGGGAGGGCAGGAATCAGAGAAGGAGGGAAGGAGAGAGGGGGGTGGCCGCCCAACGAAAAGAGAGGCAAAGACTTCACGCTCATCGTGACACGTTGCCGGGGGGCGGACGGACGCTCGAGTCATGCCCGGTGAGAGTGCGAACCGAAAAACAAAACAAAAATACATAAAACGCACAATGAGGCGATATCGTGGAGGGACCGACTCCACGGTCAACACAAAAAAAAAAAACGCGTATTCATAGCTGAACCAAAGCACACCTTTCCGACTTTCGTGGCGACCGCGACCACCGCCGTGGCGCCGCCGGTCATGCCGGGAGAGGTCCCGCTCAGCCTGCTCCGGACGTCGCTGGCGCTGCTGGCCTCCCGGGGCCGCCGACGCGGCGCCAGTGGCTTCCCGACGCCACCACCGCAGTCTTCGACCTCGTCACCGCCCTCACCGCCCTGGTTCTCCGACATGGAGCCGCACGCACCACATCCACCACCACCACCACCACGAGGCGATGATGCCGCTGCTGCTGCTGCTGCCGGTGCCCGCGCTGATGCCGCCGCTGGTGCCCCCGAACCGACGGCATCATGGCTGCCGCCGCCGCCGCCGCCGCCGCCGCCGCCGTCGTCGCCCCTGCCACGCTCCCTTCCCGCCGAGAGCGTTTCTCCTCCCGTCGACCGGGACGGCGATCGTGATCGCGAGGGCGAGGGCGAGGGCGAGGGCGAGGGCGACCTAGACCTGTCGCGCCCCAGCACCCGGAACTGAGCGTCGAGACACGCGGTGTCCATCTCGTAGCACCCGTGCTCGATGGCGGCGGAGATGCTGTCCGTGAAGCACTTCTATATTTTCGGTTGGGGGGGGGGGGGGGGGGCCCTTGGGGAAAATAAAAAATAATAACCCAATGATTTTTGATGAGGAGGGGGGGGGGGGGGGGGGGGGGACCCCCCAAAAACCCGGGGGGATTCTTTAAAAAATTTTCCCCCCCCCCCCCAAAAAACGGGGGGGGGGGAAAAAAGGGTTTTTCCCCCCCCCCCGCTTTTTTTTTTTAAAGGAAA